ACCTTCCCTGGAAATGGCCAGAGAGTAAATACCTTTGAGTTTAGAGGTGGAAGATCTCTGGCCTACTACCCAGCCCTGCTATTGATTTTAGCCTAACAGGAGGTGTCCTTTGACCTCATCTCCCGTTACTTTGTCCCAAAGAGAACGGTATGACTTTTTTTTTTCACTTGTGCAATTTAAATTTCTACCTTTACTGTGAGGAACTGACCTGAACCTATTTGCCTGGCTCAGAGGATCCTCAGGATTTTTGGGTTCTTCTGGAAATTCTTGACAGCCTCAGGGGATTAGAAGTGAGAGGAGGGAACCATGGATACCCTCGCTGGACCTGGCTTCTGGCTGAGCCAGGTGACACAGTGGGGACACTGACCAAAGGGAGATGCAGACAGCAGGGCTGCTGGGTGGGCAGGGCTGCCTGATTCTCCTCCACACAAACACCCCCATAACTGTGCAGCAAACCACGCACCCTAAACAGTTCTCCTCTTTACAACAGTTCTCTTCTTTGCATGCTGGTGAACAAACCTCTGATGCAGGTTTCTAACATTCACAGGGCTTAGGAGACAATCCCAGAGAGTAGGCCTTGATTAGGGTATTTAAAATTCTGCAAACAGGACTTCCCTGGTGGTCCAGTGTATAAGAATCCGCCTGCCAATGCTGGGGACATGGGTTTGATCCCTGGTCTGGGAAGATTCCACATGCCATGGGGTAACTAACCCTTGAACAACTACTAACCTATGCTCTAGAGCCCGTGAGCCGTAACTACTGAAGCCCATGTGCCCTAGAGTCCCTGCTCCACAAAATCAGAAAATTCGGCAATGAGAAGCCGGTAGACTGCAACCAAAGAGTAGAAGCCCTCGAAGGAATGAAGACCCAGCACAGCCAAAAATAAATGAATAACTGAAGGTCTTCCATGACTTGGGTCTACCCCTCCAGCCACATCTGCTGACTCCACCAAGAGCAGGGTTTGTCAGCCTCAGCACCTCTGACATTTTGAGCTCATTCAGTCTCCATCATGGGCTGTCCTGTGCATTGGAGGGTGTTTAGCTGCATCCTTGGCCTCTACCCACAGGATGCCAGGAGCTGTGAGGACCAAAGATGCCTATAGGTACTGCTCCATGTTCCCTGGGGGCAAAATCATTCCTTCCACCTTCACACATTTTCTTGGCCTCTGCTCCCATCAAGAAACACTAACCTATGGGACTTCCCTGGCAGTCCAGTGGTTAAGACCCTGAGCTTAACCACTGCAGGGATCACCAGTTCAATCCCTGGTCAGGGAACTAAGATCCTGCATCACTCAAGATGCAGCCAAAAAAAAAAAAAAAATCACTGACCTAGAATATTCTATACTGCTTGGTTTGCACAATTTGGTCCAGAAGGGATCCACTTTTACCAACATCCCACCTGCTTGCTCCTCAACCCGAGACACCATCCCTTTCACACTGACCCATCCCTGCTTTGCCAACTAAGGTACATATTCTCATGGCTAGCCCACGTTTACTGAGTGCGCACTAAGTACCAAGCCCTGTTTCAAAACACTGAAAATGGATTAACTCACATTTGATCCTAATAACAAGCCTATGGGGCAGGTTTGAGCTGTGATTACGTATCATGTCCTAGATCTTAGAGGTCTTAAGCAGGGAAGCTGGCAAGTGAAGGCAGGAGACCTGAACCAGCCTAAGTCTAGCCCAGGATAGTTTCCCAGAGTGCCCTGTATGTTGTCCCGGCCCGTGTGGATGTACCCATCGCAAATCAGCATCACTACTTATATATCGGGTGTTCATTCACAACTACAAGCTTGAGTGTGCAAGAATGGACCCATTTTTTCCTTTTTGTAAGCCCAGTCTTATCCAACTCAGCCTGCCCAGGTAGACTGATGGTTCGGAACCCCAATCTTATTCATTTGGGGGGGCTCCCTCCCCCATGGCCCAGGGTCACTGGAGGATCACAGGAGTCTCCCTCAGAGAAAGTCTGAACCTCTGGCTCTCACTGCTTTCTGGTAATTGGCTCCCAGGGAAGTCTGTTGCCAAAGAAACCTCCTTCCCCTGCCCTCAGGATACCCAGCATCATTTCCTCAAGGAAGCCAGACTTTCAAAAGACAGAAGATATCTTCCCGCAACTTCTGCTTTCTCCCTTTTCTACTCCCACCCCCAGCAATCTTCCTGAGCGAGTGAAGGAGAGCTCAAAGCCTGGCTCTGATGAGAGAGACAGACCAAAGCAGAGGACAACATTTTGCGACCTCTACAACCAGGAAAAAAAAAGAGCACAGTAATTAAAGGGCCCTGCACCCTTGCTAAACGTCTGTGCCAGTGCCTGTCTGGTGCCCCTGGAAGCCCTTTGGTGGGTGAGGGCCTTTGGGCAATTTGGCTTGATGTATGCACCTTGAGGGTCTTCCCAGGTGCTGCTAGTGGTAAAGAACCTGCCTGCCGATGCAGGAGACATAAGAGACAGGGGTTGATCCCTGGGTGGGGAAGATCCCCTGGAGGAGGGCATGGCTACACACTTCAGTATCCTTGCCTGGAGAATCCCATGGACAGAGGAGCCTGCTGGGCACACTCCATGGGGCTGCAAGGAGTTGGCTGCGACTGAAGTGACTTAGCCTGCACACACGCGTGGCTAGCGTTAAGGAGTGGAGTGTTAAATAATGCATGCTTTCTCTAGTCGCAGGCTCTGCTGGGCTGGCCACTCTCTCTGACCTCCTTTCCTCACCACAGTCCAGGGAGCACGGCTCTCTTTCTGCTTCTCAAGAGACTATTCTGGTCCCAGGACCTGTGCTGAGCTATTACCATATCTTGGGAACATCCACCCTTCCAGATCCCCAAGAGACTGCCTCCATCTGCCACTGAGGTCTTTATTTGAATGTCACCTCCTGAGACAGCCCTTCTCTGAACCCACAGCCTCAATCACCTCCCTTATTCCTGGTTAATATCCCCAAATCTCTCTTTCCCTCACAGAATGTGCTCCATGAGGGTGAAGATCACTGTGTGCCTCCTGGCTGAAGTGAAGTCGTTCAGCCCTGTCTGGCTCTCTGCGACCCCATGGGCTGTAGCCTACCAGGATCCTCTGTCCATGGGGATTCTCCAGGAAAGAATACTGGAGTCTCCAGGGGATCTTCCCAACCCAGGGATTGAACCCAGGCCTCCTGCATTGTAAGCAGACTCTTTACTGTCTGAGCTACTGGGGAAGCCCGTGCCTGCTGGCTATCTGTGTCCAAATGAGTGATGACTGGGATTTCTGTGGTGGTCCAGGGGTTAAGACTCCAAATTTTCACTGTAGGGGGCACAGGTTCAATCCTTAGTCAGGGAAGTAAGATCCCACATGTGGCACAGCATGGGAAAAAAAAAAATAGTGGCAAGCATAGCTGCCTTCCAAATGAGTGATGGCAGTGTCACTATCTTAAACCTGCATGGTGAAAATTCTCATGGGAAAAACCGTAAACTTCAGAACACTGATTTATCTAGTGGTCCATTCTTACCGATGCACTTCAGGAGAACTAATATATTTGAAGGAGAAAGTAGGGACAGGAAGGGGTAGGCGTGGCCCCATCACTCATTCCCATGATGAGGAAGCAGGTTCACAGAGGGGAAGTCAATTGAGAAATTACATGAAGCAAGTCACTCTGCCTTTAAAAAAAAAAAAGGCTGCTATGAAACTTCAGCAAGGAGATCAAACCAGTTCATTCTAAAGGATATCAGTCCTGAATATTCATTGGAAGGACTGATGCTGAAGGTGAAGCTCCAGTACTTTGGCCACCTGATGTGAAGAGCCAACTCCTTGGAAAAGACCTTGATGCTGGGAAAGATTGAAGGAAGGAGGAGAAGGGGACGACAGAGAATGAGATGGTTGGATGGCATCACCGACTGGACAGACATGAGTTTGAGCAAGCTCCAGGAGTTGGTGATGGACAGGGAAGCCTTGTGTGTTGCAGTCCATGGGGTCGCAAAGAGTCAGACATGATGAAGCGACTGAACTGAACTGAACTTCAGGTACTAATCAGTTCCCTCCTTGCCCTGAGGACTTTTACCTTCCAGCAGGGAAAAGAGAAAATGTAGAGGGGTAAATCTAGAAAACAAGAAAACTGCAACTGCATTAGAAGATAAATGTTAAGAAGATAACCAGGAGGGAGGGGGGTAGGTAAGGAAGAGGGAAGACTAGTTTATTTCTTAGTGGGTGGGTGGGTGAAGCGGGTATGTTGGCCATGTGACAGCGCTTGAGGAATCTTAGTTCCCCCGCCAGGGATCGAACCTCCATCCTCAGCACTGCAGGGTGGATTCTTAACCACTGGACCACCAGGAAGTCCAAGGGAAGGTACTTAGGATGGCAGGATGCAGGAACACTGGTTTGCACTTTGGCTGCGTCTTCTGCCTGGAAATCCTAGTTAGCCACCAGCCCTCCCCCCACACCCCGCCAGCCCACCCCAGCTTCAAGGAACGCTCCTGGCACCCAGGATTCGGCGCAGATGTCACTCTAACAGGGAGGCCTCGCTGAGCATCCTGCCTGAAACAGCACACGCGACCCCTGGCCTGTGTCTATACGGGTCTATAGGTATCACTGTATACATGGGCCCATGTGTTTTTATTCTTTCTCTAGCGTCCCCACTGAAATGTGGCGTCCGGAAGCCCCGACTTGGGGTTTCGTTGCTGTCTCCCCAAAGCTAAGACACTCAAAAGCAATACGGGGCATCCCTGAAGGCGGCCCCGGCGAGATGTGCGCGGAGAGTGCCGAGAAGCCTCCGCCGCTCTGCCTCGCGGGGCCATCCTGGTGCCGGGTATCACTGGGATCACCCGCCGAGCGGCCCCGGGGGACGCATTAGAATCCGAGCGCCAGGCAGGGGCCCGGGCCCCCGCGCCGGAGCCGAGCCAGCGCGCGCCTCGCAGCCCCGCGCTCCCCGGGCCCCGCGCCCGCCGGCGGATCCGTTTGGGCGCGCGGTTCGGGGAAGCCAGGCCGACCCCCTCCCGGGCCCCTCCCGGTGCCCTCGCCAAGGCCCCGGGCGCCGCCGCACCTACCGGACGCGCTGGGCCGTGACTGCGTTTCCCGTGTGCTGCCGGAGCACCGCCAGGAATAGGAGCCGCATGCCGCCGCCGCCACCCGGCCATCCACCGCCCGCCGAGGCCGGGCCCGGGGCGGGGGCGGGGACGCGGACCGGGGCGGCGGGCGGCCGGGCTGGGTCAGTCCGCCCGCCGCTCCCCAGGCCGCGCCCGCGCTCGCCGGTTCCGACGCCGGGGGTCCGGGGCGCGCGGGGCGGCGAGCGGGGCGCGTGCCCGGGAAGGTGGGGGTGGGGGTGGTCCGCGAGGTCCCTCCCATGGGACCAGCATCAGGGCATCCGCGGGTCCCTTCCATGGGAACCAGAAGAGGCTCCTCTGGTGGTCCCAGAGTGACCATAGGTCCGCGTCCACGTGGACTGTAACCTGAGATGATAACAGGCCCCTTCCCACCGAGCCGAGTAGGGGTGGGTGGCCACAATCTCCTCCCACAGGGACCAGGGTTAGCCACAGGTTCCCCACCACACACACACAGGTACACACACACACACTCTCTCTCTCTCTTTCAGAGGAACCAGGGTGACTGCCCATTGCTCCCCTGGGGACCAAGGGTCGTGAGTCCCTTTCCACCACCTGGCACAAGGGGTGATGACCAATTCCCTCCCACAGGAACCAGAGGAGGCCATAAGTGGACTCCCAAGCGTATCAGGTTGACCTGATTTCTGACATCTTTTGAAAATGAGAGATCTTGCAATATTGAGTCATTTGAAAAGACCCTGAAGCTGGGAAAGATTGAGGGCAGGAGGAGATGGGGATGACAGAGGATGAGATGGTTGGATGGCATCACCGACTCAATGGACATGGGTTTGGGCAGACTCCGGGAGTTGGTGATGGACAAGGGAGGCCTGGCGTGCTGCGGTTCATGGGGTCGCAAAGAGTTGGACACGACTGAGGGACTGAACTGACTGAAGCCGTCATTCCCACAGTTGCCTGAGCTAAGAAGCCGTTGCCCCCTTTGGAGATGTTGAGATAAACTGAAGCATAATTTTAAGTTTAAGCAAAAATTTATTCCAATTGGGCAGCACTGAACCAGAAGTGGCCAGGAGTGCTCCACAGACAGGAGCAGGGGAGAGGCTATTATACATAAAAGGCAGAAGCAAAGTAAGGAAGTTCAGTTCAGTTCAGTTCAGTTGCTCAGTGGTGTCTGACTCTTTGTGACCCCATGGACTGCAGGATGCCAGGCCTCCCTGTCCATCACCAACTCCTGGAGTTTACTCAAACTCATGCCCATTGAGTCAGTGATGCCATCCAACCATCTCATCCTCTGTTGTCCCCTTCTCCTCTTGCTTTCAATCTTTCCCAGCATCAGGGACTTTTCCAATGAGTCAATTCTTCCCATCAGGTGGCCAAAGTACGGGAGTTTCAGCTTCAGCATCAGTCCTTCCAATGAATATTCAGGACTGATTGCCCTTATGATTGACTGATTTGATCTCCTTGCAGTCCAAGGGACTCTCAAGAGTCCTCTCCAACACCACAGTTCAAAAGCATCAATTCTTCGGTGCTCAGCTTTCTTACAGTCCAACTCTAACATCCATACATGACTACTAGAAAAACCATAGCCTTGACTTGATGGATCTTTGTTGACAAAGTAATGTCTCTGCTTTTTAATATGCTGTCTAGATTGGTCATAACTTTTTTTCCAAGGAGCAAGCGTCTTTTAATTTCATGGCTGCACTCACCATCTGCAGTGATTTTGGAGCCCCCCAAAATAAAGTCTCTCACTGTTTCCGTTGTTTCCCTATCTATTTGCTATGAAGTGATGGAACCAGAAGCCATGTTCTTAGTTTTCTGAATGTTGAGTTTGAAGCCAACTTTTTCATTCTCCTCTTTCCCTTTCATCAAGAGGCTCTTTAGTTCCTCTTCACTTTCTGCCATAAGGGTGGTGTCATCTGCATATCTGAGGTTATTGATATTTCTCCCAGCAATCTTGATTCCAGCTTGTGCTTCATCCAGCCCAGCATTTCTCATGATGTACTCTGCATATAAGTTAAATGAGCAGGGCAACAATATACAGCCTTGATGTTCTGCTTTTCCAATTTGGAACCAGTCTGTAGTTCCATGTCCAGTTCTAACTGTTGCTTCCTGACCTGCATACAGCTTTCTCAGGAGGCAGGTCAGGTGGTCTGGTATTCCTATCTCTTGAAGAATTTTCCACAGTTTAATGTGATCCACACAATCAAGGCTTTGGCATAGTCAATAAAGCAGAAGCAGATGTTTTTCTGGAATTCTCTCACTTTTTCGATGATCCAGCAGGTGTTGGCAACTTGATCTCTGGTTCGTCTGCCTCTTCTAAATCCAGCTTGAACATCTGGAAGTTCATGGTTCACAAAGTGTTGAAGCCTGGCTTGGAGAATTTTGAGCATCACTCTGCTAACGTGTGAGATGAGTGCAATTGTGCAGTAGCTTAAGCATTCTTTGGCATTGCCTTTCTTTAGGATTGGAATGAAAACTGACCTTTTCCAGTCCTGTGGCCACTGCTGAGTTTTCCAAATTTGCTGGCATATTGAGGATAGCACTTTCACAGCGTCATCTTTTAGGATTTGAAATAGCTCAACTGGACTTCCATCACCTTCACTAGCTTTGCTTGTGGTGATGCTCCCTAAGGCCTACTTGACTTCGAATTCCAGGATGTCTGGCTCTAGGTGAGTGATCACACCATCATGGTTATCTGGGTCATAAAGATCTTTTTTGTATTCTCTTCTGTGTATTCTTGCCACCTCTTCTTAATACAACTGCTTCTGTTAGGTCCATACCATTTCTGTCCTTTATTGTGCCCATCTTTGCATGAAAATTTCCCTTGATATCTCTAATTTTCTTGACGCGATCTCTAGTCTTTCCCATTCTGTTGTTTTCCTCTATTTGCACTGATCACTGAGGAAGCCTTTCTTATCTCTCCTTGCTATTCTTTGGAACTCTGCAATCAAATGGGTATATCTTTCCTTTTCCTGTTTGCCTTTTGTGTCTTTTCTTTTTTCAGCTATTTTTAAGACCTCTTCAGACAACCATTTTGCCTTTTTGCATTTCTTTTTCTTGGGGGTGGTCTTGATCATTGCCTCCTGTACAATGTCACAAACCTCTGTCCATAGTTCTTCAGGCACTCTATCAGTGCCTAGACTCTAATCCCTTGAGTCTATTTGTCTCTTCCACTGTAAAATCATAAGGGATTTGATTTAGGTCATATCTGAATGGTCTTAGTGGTTTCCCCTACTTTCTTCAATTTAAGTCTCCCAGTCTTGTTTTTGCTGACTGTATAGAGCTTCTCCATCTTTGGCTGCAAAGAATATAATCAATCTGATCTCGGTATTGACCATCTGGTGATGTCCATGTGTAGAGTCTTCTCTTGTTGCTGAAAGCTTAGTTGGCTCTCTGTGATTGGTTATCCTTAAGTTTCAGTTCTGTAACTTTGAGGCATTTACAGCTTAGGTTTTGGTTTGACTGGCTCAGATGGAAAGAATCTGCCTGCAGTGCGGGATACCCAAGTTCCACCACTGGATGGGGAAGATCTCTTGGAGAAGGGAATGGCTGGATACCCACTCCAGTATTCTTACCTGGAGAATTCTATGGACAGAAGAACCTGGTGGGCTACAGTCATGGAGTTGCAAAGAGTGGGACACAACTAAGCCACTAATACTTTCACTTTTTCTCTTTTGGTGTGATTAAGGAAGCAGCAGGGCATTTAAGCCCTCAGTCAAGTGGCCTCCTTGTTTAACAGAAGGGACCTGAGCTCCCCACTTTATCACAGTGGTTGTAGGTGCATTTCAATTTCTTTGTGAGCTCAATCTGTATTCCTGTTGTTAGAAGAAGTTGAAGTTTATATCTTGGCTCCATAGTCACCAAGGACAGAGACCTCTTTCTTTCTTCTCCAGCATCATAGTGTTTGGCCTTTATTCTTAAGATAGTCTCTAGGTGTAACATGATTGCTGGAGCTCCAGCCATCATATTCACATTCTAGGTCAGCAGGAAGGAAGGATATAATGCTGCATTTCATTTTAAGGGCTCCTCCTGGGATTTCACACAGCCTTTATGACTTTATCTTACTGTGTGCATGACCACATCATCCATCCCAGACAGCTAGGAAATGCAGTCTGTTAGCTGGGTATATTGCCACCCTGAATAAAATGGTGATCTCAGGTGACCAAAAATATTCTTTTTCAGGGCCACCATTTAATCCATTTCAGAGGCTCCTTTTCACAGACGGCTGCATGTATGAAGGTCCCCAATGACTCACCTGGAATTGTTCTGTACCTCCCCACCCCTAATGCTCTCTGTCTCTTCTCTACTGACCTCATTACGTTTTGTGACCAGGGAGTGGTCAGCCCCACCCAGCACCTGGGTCCTGAGCTCATTCAATGCTCTCACCTTTGCTTGTCCAGCACCAGACAATAGACATCAATAGATGTTTGTTAAATTAAATAAAATCACTGAATTTGCTCTGTTGTGAGATTTTATTCCCTTGAGAATGCATTTCTGATTTTTTAGTGAAAGCCAGTGCTGCCATGGTAGGCTTTGCTAGGCTGAAACTCACTTTTATTCAGTTTTGCTGGAATACACCTGTTCCATGAGGTAAGATATTCTGACATATCTTTGGGGGACCATTACTTTATCCTTTCATGGCTTTCGTTTACCCATTTGTAAAATGAGAAAAGCTATAAACAGTATCATAGTTAATTAGTTGATTTTGATGAAGTCTTTTATGATTTTCCCAGGTAGGTAATATAAAAGGGTATGAGGACAACTGTGTTATTATTGAGTAATATAGAAATAATTATGAGGGGGTGAGGAGGTAAACCTTGGCATCTCGTAGGAGTTTTCTCCAGATGCTTCTAACATAAGGGTCTTAAAATATACATAATACAAAGTTTGTGTGTGTGTTTGTTTGGTTTGTTTGTTTGTTTTTGATCATAGTGTTTGTTCAGACTATTTCTCTAGTTCCTAGCTCTGGGTGGGGGAAAATGAAACTTTATTATCTAACCTGGATAAAAGTGATAGCATTTTCAAGGGAGGGCACTGTGGGCATATTGGCTTTAAAAAT